TATAGAACTTCCCACCCAAAAACCACGAGATACACTTCTTTCTCACCCCAACATGGAACCTTTTCGAAGATTGACCATCTGGTAGGGCACAAGGCAAGCCTCTACAGATTCAAAGGCATAGAAACTATACCCAGCATCTTTTCCAACCATGATGAAATCAAACTTGATTTTAATTTCGAGAGAAATCTTCAGAAATACTCAAATACATGGAAACTAAATAACTCACTTCTGAATGACTTCACAACTACTGAAGAAATAAAGACTAAAATCAAAAGATTTGTGGAGGGAACCAGCAGTTAGTGTAATGGCTATGTCGCTGGACTCCCACGTAGTCGACCGCGGTTCACGTCCCAGACCCGGTGGCTTAAAACTCAAGCCGGGTGCATGTGCGTGCATGCCCAAGATCCCGAGAGGAGAATGGAGGAGAAGGGATTGCGGAGTGACCATCCCCCCCGGGGGGGTGATTTCTCGCTTTCTGTCTCTATGTCTCTCTCTGTCTGTCTGGCGAGCACACGCGCCCTATAGTGAAAAGCCTCTCAAAAAATTAAAAAAAAGATTTGTGGAAGCCAATGACATTGAGGACATGAGTTTCCATAATCTTTGTGACACTGCAAAAGCAGTCATAAGAGAGAAATTCATAGCAATTAGTAGACATAAGAAGAAGACAAAGAGAAGGCAAATGGATCTCCGAATATTGTGCTTCAGAGAATTGAAAAAGCAGCAGCAAAAAAAAAAAAAAAAAATCTAAAAACTTAAATACTCCAGGAAACTGGAAATAATAAAGATATGAGCAGAAATAAATGAAATAGAAAGTAAACGAACTACACTGAAAATAAATCAAAGTAAAAGCTGGTTCTTTGAAAAAGATAAACATAATTGATATACCACTAGTGAAACAGTATTACTAAGAAGAGAGAAAGGAACCAGGTAAATCAAATTTGCAATGAAGAAGGCAATATAAGAACAGACATAACAGAAATATAAAACATCACGAGAGGATACTATCAACAACTATATGCCAAGGAACAAGACAGTCTGGATGAGATGGACAAATTCCTGGACACATATAATCTACCAAGATTGAGCCAGGAGGATGTAGAAGTCTGAATAGGCCCATAACAAGCCTGGAGATTGAATCAGTAATAAATTACCTCCCAGTGAAGAAAAGCCCTGGTCCTAATAGCTTCATCTCTGAATTCTACAAAACTTTTAAAGTAGAATTAATCCCCATTCTGCTCAAGTTATTTCTAAAGATACAAATGGGTGAATATCTCCCTAATTCATTCTATGAAGCCTATATCACCCTTATCTTTAAAACAGATAAGGACAGGACAGGGAAAGAAAACTATATACCAATATCTCTGATGAATGTAGATGCAGATTCTCAACAGGATATTAGCAAATCATAACCAACAAGTTATAAAAAAGATTATACATCACAACCAGGCATGCTTTATTCTGGGGATGCAAAGTTGGTTCAACATATGCAAAACCATAAATGAAATGCACCATAGTAAGAGAAAGAAAAAGAAAAACCATATGATCATATCAATTGATGCAGAAAAAGCAATTGATAAGATACCACATCCCTTCATGATCAAGGATCTCAGGAAAATCAGTATAGAAGGGTCGTTTCTAAACACAATAAAGGCTATCTATGAAAAACCGATAACGAACATTACCCTGAATGGAGAAAAGCTGCAAGCTTTTCCACTAAAAACAGGTACAAGACAAAGATGCTCATTTTATCCACTCCTTTTCAATATAGTACTGGAAGTTCTCTCCACCGCAATCAGAAAATAAAATAAAGTAAAAACTATTCAAATAGGAAATGATGTTGTGAAACTCTATTTGCAGATGACATGATTGTATACATTGAGACCCAATGGTATCCATTAAAAAATTTCTGGAAGTAATACATGAATACAGTAAAGTTGCAGGATACAAAATCAACATACAGAAATCTATAGCATTTCTATATACTAACAGCAGGCAGACTTAGATAGGACTAAAAAAAAGTTCCATTTACAATGGCCACAAAAAGTATAAGATACCTAGGAATAAATCTAACAAAAGAAGTTCAAGACCTCCATGAGGAAAACTGCAAGAAGTTGAAAAAAGAAATTGAAAATGACATAGAAAAAGGGGAAGAACATCCCATGTTCCTGGATTAGAAGAATTAATATAATCAAAATGACAATTCTACCCAAATTAATATATATCTTTAATGCAATACCAATCAAAGTACCAGACACATTCTTTACAGATCTAGAAAAGACAATCATATAATTTGGAATCATAAAAGACCTCTTATTGCCAAAATAATCCTGCACAAGAAGATTGGAGTGGGTGGCATCCCACTCTCAGACCCAAAAATATACTATAGAGCTGTGGTAATCAAAACAGCACAGTACTGGTATAGAAACAGATGGACCCATAGAAGAGAATAGAGTCCCCAGAAATTAATTCCCAAACATACAGCTAACTGATTTTTGAGAAAGGGTACCAGTCAATCCAGGGGGAAAAGGAAAACCTCTTCAGCAAATGGTGCTGGAAAACCTGGATATCCACCTGCATAAAGATGAATCTGAACCCCTACCTTTCACCATTAACAAAAATCAAGTCAAGGTGGATCAGAGATCTAAACTTAAAACCTCAAACTATAGAACTATTCCTGGAAATTTTGGGGAAACTGTTGGAGACAATGGGGGTAGGCAAAGACTTCTTAAATAAGACCCCCAAAGTACAGTAAATAATCCCTGAAATAGACAAGTGGAATTACATCGGACTAAGAAGTTTCTGCATGGCAAAAGGCACAGTAATTAGTGTGAATTGACAGCCCTCAAAATGGGAAAATATTTTTGTAAAACATGCATCAGATAAGGAACTAATAACCAGAATCCACAACGAACTCAAGCAGCTGTCCCAAAAAAAGATGATCAACCGTATTAAAAGATGGGAGAATGAGTTGATAAAACCACTCTGTAAGGATGACATAGGAATAGCCAAAAGGCATATTAAAGAATGCTCTACATCTCTCATTGTAAGGTAAATGCAGATCAAAACTACAATGAGATACCACCTAACCCTGGACAGAAAGACTAGGATTAAAAAAAAAAAAAAAAAGATAAGTGCTGACGGGGGTGTGGTGAAAGGAGAACTCTCTTAGACTGCTGGTGGGAATATAAATTGGTCCAGCCACTGTGGGGAACAATGTGGAGATTCCTCAAAAATATACAAATAGAACTACTGTATGATCCAGCAATCCCATTCCTGAGTATCTACCCAGACGACAGAAGAATTCTTAGTCTGAAAAGTGCTTGAACATCTATGTTTATTACAGCATTATTCACACTTGCTAAGACATGGAACCAACCCAAATGCCCATGAATAGATGAATGAATTGAAAAACTGTGACACATATAGTCTATGGAATACTACTCGGCTATAAAAAACAAGACCCTGGATTTTGACAGAAAGTAAATGAATATGGAAGATTTACTACTGAGTGAAGCAAGCCAGGCTATGAAGGAAAGACATTGCATGTCCCCACTTAATATTTACCGAGTGTCCGCACTCTATGACAGAAACGGAATAACTAAGGGATATAGAAATACAGTAAATGGTTGTAAATACTGGATATAATGTGGGAAGTGGGTGGGTGAAGAAGTAGAGTCTGAGGAAGGGCATTAGGGAGAAAAACAGAGAAGCTTAGCATTAATGGAACAAAGAAATGGGGTTTTATCTATAGAAAATAACTTTATAGTATTATCAACTGGACTGGGGAGAAATGTACACATGTTGGAATATTTACTTTGCAAACTAAATAACATGGGGACTAGCAGTTAGCGTAATGGCTATGTCACTGGACTCCCACTAGTTGACCACGGTTCGCATCTCGGACCCGGTGGCTTAAAACTCACGCCGGGCGCGTGTGCATGCGTGCCCAAGATCCTGAGAGGAGAATGGAAGAGAAGGGATTGCGGCGGGGCCATCCACCCTGGGGGGTGATTTCTCGCTTTCTATCTCTCTATCTCTTTCTGTATGTCTGACAAGCGCACGCACCCTATAGCAAACTAAATAACGTGATTGAATGCATAAGAGAACTTGAAATAAAATTTAAAAATATAAAGTTAACCTATCTGAGCCTCAGTGTAGTCAATATAAGGAAGCTATTGCAAAGAGTTAACATCAGATATAAGTATCATTTAGCACAGAGACTGCCCATAGAAAGGTAATAATAAAATAATCCATCTTGATTTCACAGATATGCATACATTTATAAACTTAATGCTAATATTAAGATTCAAAAACATATTCATAATGTTCATAATGACAACACAGAGCAGATTATCCTAGAACATTCAGCTCATATTCACAGCCATTGTCCCCTGGGGATTTAATACTTGCAGAAGATATTCGAGCAAAGCATGGTAGGTTGTGCTACTTGACAAAGGATTTATCCTATAAAACAGTAGTGTACTCTGACCTTGTCTTGGCCTTAACTATTCACAAAGTAATTACATAACAAATGGAAAATATTAGAAAATTGTCCCTAAAACAGATGATTGAGTCACATCCTGCCTGTATGCCACCCTTTTAAGAATCCACATTCATCCAAACTGGAGCAGTAACTTTCATTTCTGCCTGTATCCAGTTTACTTCTTGTTTTGAAGGTTATTTAGAGTGCGATTTGGGAGAACACCAGTGACCAGGGACCAAATTCAGACCACTAAGTCAGTCTGCAAAGGCCTGTGAAAAGCAGGAAAATGGAAATTACTTTCAGATATTACTAATTTGCACCAGGTTTGTATTGGAAGCCTAGCAATAAAGGGTTCTGTATCTTATTACTCATCACTTGAGTCAATTGTTCCTCATGTTCTTTAATTAACTCTTGTTATTTTAAAGAGTGCTTGCAGAATGTTTTCACTTAAGAATAAGAAATGATGATCTTCATTCAGACCTTTAATTTCTTTTGTTTTTGTTCTTTTTCTCCTTAGGGATGCAGATTTGTTCCTGCTAGATACAAGAAAGGCCCAAGCTTTAGATGTGGGTTGGCTTGTCTTTGATATCACTGTGACCAGCAATCATTGGGTGATTAATCCACAGAACAATTTAGGCTTACAGCTCTGTGTAGAAACAGGGGATGGTAAGCACTGAATTTTATACATATTTTTTGTGGGGCTTGTTTTGAGATATGGTGTATATGTTTTTTAAATTATTTGTTGTTTTATTTATTATTATTATTTTCTATTTGACTAGAGAAAGAGAGACAGATGGGGAGGTGGGAGGGGCTCGGCAAGAAAGCAAGTCACCCAGTCCAGGAATTGAACTGTGGTTAGCCATGTGGGCGTCCAGTGCCTTAACTACCATGCCACTTGCCAACCTAGTATATTGCTTTTTTGTGTGTGAGTTAATCAGTATATGTTTTGTACTTATGATATACAAGGTAGCAGATTCCATAGGATAGTCATTATGTTAATTTGTTTTTCGATTTGTGAACACATATGCATTGTCAGACTCTGGAATGGGGGTAGAGGGGTGAAGAATTACCCTTATCCTCAAAGAATTTTCAGTCTGGTGTTGAAGACATGCATCTAAACAAGTAGCACTGTTGTAACATAAGAATAACAAATGTTATAGCCAGCCTAAGGAGGGTAGTTTTTAAAGGGATAATTACTAGAATGTATCTTTCTCAAATTAAATTGCTTCTAACTTTTCATAGAACCAGGCTAAAAAAAAAAAAAATAGACCTAGTGTCTGTCTCACTCATTCTTGATGTATTACACTAAAGCCTTGGTAATAAACTATAGTATTAATTAAAGTTGACTCTGTCTTGGACCTCCTTCAAAGGGTTCAGGCACGGAATTTTCATAGTGACCTCGTTTTACCTGCAACAGTTTCTTAACCTATGTATGATGCCCTAACCAACATTGTGACTCCAAGGATTGTGTGTAAGAAGTAAGGCTGATAGACAAAAATTAAATATATTACCATGTTAGTCTAGTTGAGGTTTATGTACTTGGAATCCTGTTACTGAAAAAAAAAAAAAATCTTAACAGTGTCATAGACACACTTTCAGACTTTCTCCCCACTGTAATTCTAGACTTCTCAAAGATTTTAGTTGTGATAATAAATTTTTGATATTTTTATAAATTACAGGTTACTTTCCAATTATGACTTTGAGATTATTTTTAAGTGTCCTCAGAGTTTAACCATTATAAATGTAGACGGAGAAAAGAACATATTTAAATAATCTTCCAAGAATTCTTGCAATGTAAAACTACTGTACATTTATGGTCAGAAATGACTGGGAAATTGCTATTGTGGGGGTGAGCCAATCACTTCTTCCCTGGTATGTGGCCCAAACAAGAAAAATTAAATTAGTGGTATGAGCTTCTCTCAGTCTTCTCCTTGGGGATATGCTTGAAATGTCTAACTAAACAACTCAAGAAATGTATGAAATATGATCAGCCTGTTTTCTTACAATTTCCATCCCCCTTCCAATCTGACATGAATTTTCTAAAGTTTCTCTTTTGTATTTTGTAGTCCTTACTTGTATTATTTCTCCCTGTCTCTTACTATTTAAATAATTTAACCTTTATATTGCTTTCAGATGATTTTTTACTCCCCAAAAACTACTCTTTATTTTGAATTTCCCTTTCTTCTTGATTTATTCCTCTCACGTTTCATGAGTAATTTTACTTTAAATTTCTATTCTGTTATTATTTTTAGTCTAAAATAATGTTTCATTCTTTTCAAAGGTTCCAAATGCTTTATTTAAGGGTTAGATTTGAGATATACAGCCTTTTGCCACCTTTCTTTGTCTGTCTAATACTATCTAAAATAAAGACTATTAAAATTGCAAAATGAGCTAGTCTAGTTGCTTTTTTGCATTTGAGCAAAAGAGTCAAAACAGATTTTAACAAGAGGTAAAGCCTACATGGTCTTGGGAAAGCAACCCCCTACTCTTAGTTTTAGTGCTACAACCTCATGGAGAATCTACATGTATCATTTCTCTATAAATATGGATAATCAAATTCTTCAGCTTATTATTGCCTTACTCATTACCACTGCTGGTGTTCACTATGATATTGCTTTAAACAGAGCTAACAGAACATCTCATCTTTGCAAGAAAGTACTTGGAATATGTTTATTGCCCCACATAAAGAGTTGGAAATCATTAAAGGATGACACTCAGAAAAGCACTTTCAAATCATCTGTTGACTGTTATTTGTTTATTCATTTGTCTAATATAAAATTCTTAAGTAACTGGACATGGAAGATAGCATGTTAAAAAGAGCACATAACCAGGGCCAGCAGGTGCCGTGGCAGTTAAAGCACTGGACTCCCAGCTAGCCAGCTGTGGTTAAGTCCTGGACCTGGCAGCTTACAAATCACAGTGGGAACATGTGTGTGTATGTCCAAAATCCCAAGAGGAAAATGAGAAGGGATTGTGGGTGGCCATCTCCCCTGGTGGGTGATTTCTCACTTTCCCTCTTCCTGTCTCTGTCTCCAGCAAGTGCATGTGCCCTGTGACAAAACAAAAACAAAAATAAAAAAGAACATAAAATCTGAGAGACAGGTATACGTACAAATAAAGTGCCCTAATGATAAAAATAGTGATAGAATCAAGCAATGAAGATACTATGATAAAACAGAAGAGAGATAGTTATGGACAAATTGGACAGAGCCAAAAGAGACATGGTTAAGGTTGCTTTTAAGCCAGGTCATATCCGTAGGATTTTTAAAAATGGAGATGAAGAGGAACGGAGTCATGGGTATGCAGGGGACATTGGTGAGAACAGGGGAAGATAATTTATTCTTAGATCAAAGAACAATGTGAGTAAATGCATAGAAGGAAAAATGACATGGCATTTTCTCAAAATTTTAATCATTCTGAACTATCTAGAACAACTTTCGTGTATAAAATAAGGTTGTAGTTGCTATCAGGAAGGTGATCTGGGGATGAATCATAGGAGGAATATGAAATCTAAATTAAGTATAATATACTTTTTGAGCTTGATCATGAGTCATAAATTGACTAGACTTGTTGCTTTAATCAGTCATAGTAGCACCACTGTACTCACGTGTTTGCATGAGTGTGAGTGTCATTAGGTCACAGGATGTGTACCTTCCATTCACAGTTGTACCATCAGTGTGGGGTGCAATGCAGGTCATAGGCATTAAAAGCATGTCTTGAATGATTATTGAATGAGTGCATGATAAAAAAGATTCTTGTATACCACTTACCTTGTCTATGAAGACATTCCAAACTATATTTAGGGAGATCATTAACCAGGTCGGTTTGATGTAACACAGGATCAGATTTGTGTGGAGCAAACCACACTACTGGAGTGAAACTGTTTCAGTCATAAAGTAAGGAGAAAGTCAGTGATGTATATCAATAAATTTTGTTTATTCTGCCCCTGTGAAGAAAACATAGCAAAGAGGCCTAAATGGATTTTGGAAATCAAAAGGTTGTTGAAATCAAAAGTAGCATTATGATTCCTCAGAGAGCCTGCGGAAAATATGTCAGCTTGTGAAATGAGCTGCACTGGATTTGCCAAGAGAGTTCAAGGATATTTTATTGATTTTTTTCATGCTGAATAGATAATTCTCAGAGCTCCATATGTTTGTTTCAACAAAATAAACATACGAGCAACAAAATAAGAAAGAAACATTGCTGTTTCTTAATGGCAGAATGTAGAAATTCCAGGCAAGTCATTATGTCCAATCGCACAAAATTACTTCCAAAGTTTTCAAGCACTTTCTCATAGTGGTTAATGTGCCTCTGTAATAAAATAAGTACTGCTTTTGTTTTTAACAGCACATGAGTAGGTTTAGATCTGTCTTACAATTTATTGTAAGATTTTCAGTTCCATAAATTATAAAGATATGTTATTATCTGAGTTATTAGGTCATTATTCACGTTGCTAATAAATCTACAGTAGTAATTTTTCCCACACACATATGCACACAGTTTATTACGTAGATAGCAATTGAATCTAGTTGTTACAGTTTGGGGTTTTCCCTTTAAACCCTATAATTTTCCACTGTCTGATGCTTTATATAGTTTAAACCTTCCACGTAAATAAATTCATTTTTTCAAGTTTGGGTTTATAGAAAAATTTAGAGATAGAAAAACAAAGATAATATTTTGGGGTTCATTATAATATCTTTTTTATAACCCTACATTTTCAGACATTTTAAGCTTGGCAAAATTCAGAATAAATTTTGCCAATAACTTTTTTCCTTTCTGTTCAAACCCACTTATACATCAAGGAAAATTCAGTCCGTATGTTTCTGATTCATTTGTATTCAAGTCATCAAAATGTTGTTTTGTCAGAGTATTGTTTAATATCCAAGAAACATTGTAAGTTTCCTTTTTTCTAATAAGACAATAAAAGCCGTTTTCTCTGAACGAAGTCATGAAATAATTTCCAACCATATCTAGGTAAAAAAAATCAAGCTGGATTTTTGTACTCAAATGAAGAACAAGAGATTCCGAGGTATCAAATTATCAAATAAGTTTTATTATAACTGAGGCTTAAGTGTGAAATGATGAAACTCATACTTGTTGTTTACGGATAGCTTATAATTTAAAGTTTTAATATTTAATTTAAATGAAGAGGATAAATAAATAGATAGCTTTATTCTGGAAGTATAATTTTCAAGAAAAAATCATTTGGAAACTAAATTAAAATCTTAACTCTGATCAAATATTTTAGCCATAGTATCAATAAAATGAGTGTAATAGTAATTACCTGACAAAGAGTTTGGAATTGGCTTTTCTTTAACTTAAGACCAATTATTTCACTGTGGAGGTTTTACAGATAATTTAAAGGAGTTTGGATAGATTTATGAGTAATCTTCAACAGGGGAAAAGTAAAAGGGATATAAGCTCAGAAACTTAGAGTTGGCAGCACAGTGTATAAGAAGTTATGTTATTAAGATCATGTTTAATAACTAGTTGATGAAATTATTATTGGTAAGAAAATTTTAAATATGTTCTAATCTAGCGTATAAAGCTAATAAAATTGAACGTTGAAAAATATGTTTCACAATCAATTGATTCTTACATCAGCTGGATATTCATAGGTGCCATAGAATATTAAATTATTAGTACTTAGTATAGAGTTTTTCTTG